ATAATTTTTTTATTTAAAAGATATGACAAATATTAATAATTAAAAGTAAAGAAATAAATGGTTAACATTTTGTATAAATGTGATGCGTAAAACTTATATATAAGTGGATTCCTACTCATATATACAAGATTCATATATTATAGTTTGGACTAAATTAAAAATGCAGTTTAGCCTATGAATTTACTAAAATATTTTTAATGAAATAATATAAAAAATAGTTTTATTGAGAGTATTTCAGTAAATTTATAAGGCAAGTTGTACTTTTAATGTATAATTCACCATGTAAAACAATTTTATGTGTGTGTTTGTATAAATACTTATTAGTACACTCTCTATTTCAACACACTATATAATATATTTATTAAAAAATTATTTTGTGCTTTGTAATTAAAGGTAGATAAATTTAAAGGTGGACAAATTTAAAGGTGCAATTATACAAACTGTATGCAAAACTAGTTGAATCAACTACATTTATATTATATTTTAATGGCTGAACCAAATAGGGGTCGAAAGGTATGTTGAATTAGAAAGTGTACTAATAACTTTCCTATATGTATGGAAAAAATACTTATCAGATGTACTTGCAAAAAATTAAAAGGAAAAATACTCAAAAACTATCATTTTAATTAATCTTCATTGAAAAGACTAAAACATCCTAGCTTTTAAAACAGGAATGAAACTATTCTTGTTTTCTCTCATATTGTTTTATTAAAATAACAGCATTTGGCTAGATTTAGATTGTGTTACAAATCTAGGAAAAGTCATTAGTGATTGGTCTCAAGCCACTTGGGTAGCAATAGCAAACCAAAACTAGAATGCTTTGCAAGCTATAAGATTTATTAAAGTTACCTTTAGAGGAATAGTTCATGACTAGTTTGCCAGTCTAAATGATGAAGAAAGTAATACTATCATAAGTGGAAATCCTACTTCAGAAGAAATAAATGAAAATGAAGCAATCTAAGATATAATAATTAGATTTGAATCTGCCATAAGAAAAGAATTTTTAGGAGGAAATTGGGAAGAAAATCAAGAAAAGGAAGAAGGAATGGGAAGAATAATAGTATGGAATTTGTAGAATTTAGAATTATGTAATCTATGTGAGCTAGATCAATACATTTGTTTGTTCCAGAAATACTATTAAAAAGCATCAAATCATGGAATGGCTAAAGGCCTAATCAAAATATTTTTTTGGAAAAATTCCTAATTCTTAGGGAATAAAATTGGTAGAAGCCTATACAACCTATGTAGAGGATAAAAGAGATACATTAGGACTAAGCATTTGGTTCACTAAAACCAAAATTAGTGAATGGTGTATAGAAACCTATAGCCATAACAAATTAAGAAAAAGCATGAAAAAAAAGGCTATGTTGTCCTAAAAATAGTGATCCAATCAAGTTGGGATGTAGTTATTCAAACTATAAGAAGAAAAACAAAAGATTTAGAATTAAAAGAAGTAATAAACAAAGGTTTAATAAGAAAAAATTTCTTAGAAGGAAAAAGAGGTATTTAAGAAATCAAAATCACCAAGAAAATATAGAAAGAATCTCGAGAAATGCACTTGTTGGCTATGTAAATAAGAAGGACACTATGCAATGAATGTTCTAAAAGATACAAAAGGGAGAGTACCAAAAACCTAAAAATTTACGAAGAAGAATTAAGTGAAATATATACTAGTTTTATAAATAGCAAAGAAAGTATATATGAAGTGGTAAGTTTAGATACTTCCAGTAGTGATGAATCAGAATATTAAGGAAGGAGAAACATGTTCTGGAGAGTATGAAGGATAAGGAAAATACAACCAAATTACTGTATTCAATAGAAGTAAATATAAAAGAATTAAACAAAAAGGAATAGGCCTTGCATTTGAAAAATGATTTAAATCCAACTCTTTTATAAGCAATCCTTTTAAAAGAAAAGATATAATTTATTATGAAATATTCACAAAAGAACATAGCATTCCTATATGGAATACAAGAGGAATAATAAATATACCTTTGATTATCAAGGTAGAAACAGAAAGTAAACAATCAAAAATCAAAGAAACTAATAGATCAAAGATAGATTTTATCCACATTAGAGGAATATAAATACTTATTAAAGCTCATTTTAGGGAAGGAATAGACACCCCAATAAAATTAGCTTTAATAGATAATATAATCAATGATAAAAGATAAAAAGGATGTTATCCTTGGATTAGTACAAGGTAACCTTAGTTACCAAAAAGTTGTGTTTATGATATATCCAAAATAGGCTGTAAACATTAATGATATAAATATCAACAAAACTTTAAGTTTAGCACATGAATTTGCTAGGGAAAACTTTATGAAAGATGGATCAATGCTAAATTGTATTTACCATATGATAAGTTATGCATTGACTAATAATCATTAGTCTAATCTTTTTAAAGATAAAGAATATATTGAATTAAATACTATGTTCTTTGAAATAGAACAAATTCAGAAACTAGAAATGATCACTGAAATAGAATTACCCAAAGAATAGAAGATAGACATTAGTGAAAAACCACTCCTAATGAGATAAAGAGAAAAACCTAGACTAATGGCATATGAGTAAGGAAAACTATTAGTCAAAATAGAACTTGAACCAAGCCATAAAAATAGTATAAACTTAAAAGCTTTGAGCTACTCTAGGAAAGAAAAAGAAGTCTTAACTAGGATGATCAGTATAAAACATGAAGTGGTGTTAGATACTTTTAAAATTCCCTTTAGAGATTTCAAAATAAAAGGAGATTATTATGATGGAAAGGAATGACATAACATTTCTATTCTAATAGATACAAGAGTGGGAGTAACACATATCCATAATGATATGGTCCCACACTTATAAAGGTTTGAACTCACTAAGCCATACAAGTATTACAACTTTAATGGTGCAGTGACCATAATACATGAATATGTTAAAGTGCCTCTTAGAATAGAGGATAAGAATATGATACAACATGAAATTACTATAATAGCTCATGTTGAAATAAAAGTGACTACAAGTATAGAATTGATCCTAGGAAACATATTTTTAACATTAGCACAACCACATAATATCCAAGAACATTGTTCAAAGATGACCTTAAGTGGAAAAGATGTAGCTATACCAAGATCCTCTAAAAACTAGTATTTATATTGTCTATATATCTATTGGAATAAAGTATGAAGAATACAAAATGGAATTCTTTCATGCTTTTATAGATACAGGATCTGGGATATGTTTGGCCAAAACTAATGTATTCCCAAAGAACTATTGGAAGAAAACTTCCTAAACAATGACAGTAATAGCTATAGATGGAAGTGTTTTTCAATACCAAACAATAATAGAGTGAGTTACTGCCATGATAGGTAGAATTGAGTTATAATCCCTTGAACCCTATGAAAGTGATGAACATTGGAATGATATTCTATTAGGAAACAATTTTCTAAGCCAATTCAAGTAGTACATTCAAACTGCATCATATGTAAAATTTTATACACTCTAAACTTGATTGAAAGGGATTAGAAAACCAGTGTTAGCATTGTGGAATAATGAAAAAACACAAGAAGAAATAACCCTAGAATCTATCTCAAAAGAATTAATAAGTAATAATTGAGAAAATCCTACAAAACTATGGGAACTTCACAAAACTTATGCCACAATGGAATTGATAGACTCAAAAACTATCATTAGAATCAAACCAATAAAGTATAGTCCTAAAGATAGAGAAGAATTTGAGAAGCAAATTCAAGAATTAATAGTCCAAAAGATTATATAGGCCTTTAAGAGTCCGTATAATATTCCTGCTTTTATGGTAAGAAATCATAGTGAGTTAAAAAGAAGAAAAGCCAGAATGGTTGTCAACTACAAGCAACTTAATAGCAAGACTAAATTTGATGGTTACTTTTTACCACATAAAGAAACTCTAATCAATAGCATTAGAGGAAAGAAGATATATTCAAAGTTTGATTGCAAATTAGGATTTTAGCAAATTAAACTAACTCTTGAAAGTATTCCATTAACAACCTTTAGTGCCCCTACAAGACATTATGAATGGTTGGTGATGCCTTTTGGATTAAAAAATGTACCTTAAATATTTCAAAGAAGAATGGATAATTAATGTATTTTCATCCATTAAGAAATTTTCCATAGTATATGTAGATGATGTACTAATCTTCTATCATAATGAGAAAGAACATTAATGTCATCTTAAGAAATTTACATATTTATGTAAGAAACATGGAATATTACTTTCCGAAAAGAAAGTAAAGATAGGAAAACCCAAAATTGAATTCCTTGGATTAGTAATAGATTCCACAAGAATAGAATTATAGCCTTATGTTAGTGAAAAGATTTTATTATTCCCAGATAAATTAGAATTTAGAGAACATATTCAAAGGTTTTTAGGAATACTTAATTATGTAGAACAATTTATTCAAAACATAGCTCAGTTAAGATATCCTTTGCAAAAATCACTATTGGGGTGTACTAGTGATGTGGGTTGATGAGTCAACAGCGAAGATGATGTGAAAGCTGATTAGGATGCCACCCATGAAAAATGAGGAAGGTCCCTTTGGCAACACCCATTTCATGTGCAAGAGGCTACGTGCTACAGGATGTCTTGTTCTATCCAGTGATGTTAATCAACAACAAATTCCCCATTAGAGCCTGAAAGTGTAAATTTTCTAGCCATGTCGAGAAAGTTGGGCAACGATAATAGAGCTTCAAGAACTAAGATGATTATACAACTACCAAAAATAATGAAAAGGAGATGTATATTGTTGTAGGAACAGCAAGGATAGAAAACATATAAG